CACCCGAAGTCCTTCTCTATAAATGGGGCCATGGAAGGATTAGGGTGACTGTGGAACATCAAGTCCCTTCTATAACCCCTGTCCTGGGATTTCTGTGCTGCAGGGGCTGTGAGGCCACTTTGGGGGAGGACAGTGATTCAAGCTTTGTGGAGCAAGGATCTCCCCAGGATGCAGGCACCTGGGGCGGGTGGCCTCCACCCACACCCTGTTTTCAGCCCTGGGGCTGCCGGGTGGGTGGAGGAACGACCTTGGTCAAAGCTGCCCCAAAGTGCCCCAAATCCCTTCTGAGCCCCGGAGACCCACCCAGCTCTGAAGACCTCTGAAATCCCTTGTTCCAGTGGTAGCCTCTGCCCACACGGTACACAGCAACCCGAACAGGGGCGCCTCCTCCGCCCGCCGCCCTACCTTGATGGTGGAGAACTCTTTCCTCCAGGGCAGCAGGTACAGGTGCACAGCAGCCAGCTCCAGTAGCTCGAAGGCGCGGGCCAAGCCACGCAGCGCGGGTGCCAGGTCAGCGCGGCCCCACAGACCATCGGTGAGCAGCGCCAGCGCGTCGTCCTGCAGCGCCCCGTGCAGGTCGAAGTCTTCCACCAGGATCTGCCACAGCACCGCGCGCAGCGATGGGTCCCCGCACACGCCCGCGCGGCCACGCCGCAGCTCACGCTCCAGGCACAGGCGGTAGTCCTCGGACAGCGAGCTGCTGCCCATTCTGGCGGGCGGGGGTACGGGGTCAGGAACCAGACCTCTCCCCGCCGGCTGTGCGCCACCGCCCACCATCCACATATCCCCCCTCCGGCCTGGTGACCCTGGCCCCTCTGGCTGTGCGGCCCCCCATCGCCCCCGCATCCACATGTCCCCCTACAGCCCGGCGACCTCGCCCACTTAGCAGCTCCGAACAGAGACCCCCCACCCACCTCGCCCACCAGATCGTGCCGTGGGCCCCGCGAGCGACCGCTCGGCCCAGCGGAGCCCAATCGGCCGCCTCTCCTCGGACTTGTCCAGCTGCCGCGCTCTTCCGCCGCCGGCGGCTCCGCCCATCGGCCTCGGCCGTGACGCTCGGGGCGGAGCTTGCGTCGGGCACCGCCCCCTTGGCTTACCCCGGGCGGGGGCGGAGCTGGGGGCGGGGCCTTGTGCCGCTCTGCTGAGCATCTGCAGCCTACCTGGCACCCCGCGGCTCGCGCGGATCCTGGGGCGGGACCGCGGGCGGGCGCTGGGCGGGCGCCCGCGGAAACGCGTTCCAGCTGCCCCTCCCTCTGAGCTAGGCCCTGGCAGCTCCAGCCGGGGAAGCAGGTGCTCCTCGCGCGCCCCGGGCCGGGCCCAGAGCTCCCCGTGCGCACGGGGGATGCGCTTCGGCGTGGTTATGCAGCAAGCAGCCTCAGGTGGGTGCGGCGGCCTCGGAGTCTTTCTGTGGTTTCAGATTTCTGGTCCCTGAGAGCAGCATCTGGGGGGCCCGGAGGCGGGGTGGAGGCCCCTCCCTAACTAGGCCAGCCTCGTTTCCAGGCGCCTGACCTGTGCGCTAAGGCCACTCGTGCGGAGGAGGGATGGGAGAAGTTTAGTGCTTGGGGGATCCCAGCTCAATGCAAGGAAGGTCTTCTGTAGACCTTCCTCCCTGGTCAGGTTCTGCCCCTTGGTTTCTGGGTCCCTCATTTCTCCAGACCACTTTTTGAGATGGGACCTGCCTGGGAGTTTTTTCTCTTAATAAAGAATTTTCACCTGGCATTTCCCTGCGTGTGTATCTTCAGATACTTCAAATGGGACTTTTAGAAAAACACTGTAACCAAGCTGGATCTCCTTGAGACGCTTTGCGGACCACCGCTCAGCACAGAGGCATTTCACTTACCCTGGACTGAACCCTGCCCTACGGCCACACCCACCCCGAGGAGCCAGTTAACTTCTGGTCATCTCTCCTGCTTGTCCGCAGAAGCTGGAGCTTAACCACTCTTTTCCGCTCGCCACTGAGTTCATCGGGTCTTCGGACGGGAGGCCTCTGGGATTGCGTTCATCCGTGGCCACGCCCCCAGCCCTGCGATGACTGTTACCAGCCTCGGTTGCAGAGTCTGACAGAGCGTGCAGGACTGGGTCTCCGACTCCAGGGAGATGGGGTTCTGACGCCGCTGTGTGGGACTCGGGGCGACTCCTCCCAACTGCTTGCTGCTTGCTACTCTAGGGCACGCGTGGCTCTTCTCTGTGGGTCACCGGAGCCTAGGCAGGTCTTCACACCTGTTTCCACCCATAGGATGGAAGTGATATTGTTTGGCTTCCCAGGTTAACTCCTTAAAACGCCTTGTTGTCTTGAGCTGTTTGCTCTTGGAATCCAGCCATCATATTGTGGGAGAGCTGGCAGCACATGGAGAGACCTTGCACTGGGCTGCATAATGCTCCCCAGATCCGCACCCCCTAGAACCTGGGAATGGGCACTTGTTTGGAAACAGATTCTTTGCGGATATAATCAAGTTAGGGTGAAGTCATGCTGAACTAGGACGGGCCCTAAATCCCAAACGACTGATGCTGTTGTAAGAAGACAGGAGTCCAGACACAGCCTGTGGGGAGAAGGCCTGTGGTGATGGAGGCGGAGGCTGGGGCTCTGCCTACAGCTACCAGCCCAGGACTGCAGGAGCCAGGAAGCTGAACGGGGCAAGCGAGGGTTCTGCTCTAGGACTCTGAGGGAGTATGGTTCCACCAGCATCTTGAATTCAGATTCTGGCCTGCAGAACTTGAATAAATTTCTGGTTTTTCACAGCACTCAGTTTATGGCTGCAAGAGGAAATGAAAGCAGGCCTCACCTGATTCTGAGAATGGAGCTGTGAGTCCTGACTGAGGTCCTAGCTCTAGACAAAGCTCTGGATGATTCCAGTCCCTGACATTGGGTCACCCAACCTGGAAACTGACTTAGTTGATGCTGGGGGTGCAGAGATGGGCTGTCCCCACTGAACCATGCCCAGATGGAAGGGTCACGAGCAAAGTACAGGACTTCTGTTGTGTTGAAGGCAGCGGCGGCGGGGGGGGGTTGTTACCCAGCAGTCCGTGTGGGACCACGAGCCTCTCTCACACTCCACCTCCACCCTCCTGGGGCTGGATGCGGCATTGTCTGACTTCCTCTGTGTCCATGCCTCTTGTGACCTGTTCGGAGGGTCATTTGGCATTTGCGTTGGCCCAGAACTGCAGCTCGTTCTCGAAGCTGCTGCCCAGTACACCCCACCCTGTGTGTACGGTTTCCAGCTCCTGTTTGCCACCACGCTCAGCGTTGCCCAGGTTTGGATTTTACCTGTATAGTGCACGTGAAATTCTACCTTGTTACAGTGTTAATTTGCACTTCTTGAACACTTTTGGTGCTAATTAGCTTTTTAAAACTTTCTTTTGAAGGTGCCTGGCTGGTGTAGTTGTTTAAGCGTCTGACTCTTGATTTCGGCTCAGATCATGATTTCAGGGTTGTGAGATCGAGCCCCACATCAGGCTCCGCACTCAGTGTGGAGTTGGTTTGAGATTCTCCCTCTCCCCGTTTGTGCATGCCCACTCGCTCACTCTCTCCAAACCCAAAAACTTCCTCCTCTGTAGATGGTCTCTTCACAGGCTTGGCTATTTTTCTATTCGGGAGTGCTGCCTTTTTCTTGTTGAATTGCAGGGTTTCGGGGAGGGGCGGGGAGAGTGGATTACTCATCCATTTTATTCAGGAGCCGTGGGCTCAGCCTGTCCGAGGGCAGTGCCTGGAAGAAGGTGCGGAGGAGACAGCCCACATGGGGCCCATCCCCAGATGTGTGGTCCCCAGCACCAAGCCAACAGGTACCTGCACTGTCGGGCTCAACTGAAGACACCCCTTCATCCTCCATCGGCTCTATGAAGGGGCCTTTAAAATCCCGTCCTGGAGATGTTAATGCCAAGGAATAAAGCCTGGATGTTACCTTCCTTTCCCAAGGCTCCGTGGTGGCTAGGACTCTCATCCAGGTCTGGGGTGCTCAGAACTCTACACTTACGAGAGCATAAGCAGAATGTCAGGGGGTCCAAGGGCAGAGCAAGGGTGGGGAGACAAAGACAAGGGGATGGGTGTGTGCTGGCTTGTTTGCTCCAGGGACACTGGCGGGCAGAGGACCCCAGGCCACAAAAGTTCCTGAGAGACAACAGCTGTCCCGGGGATTTGGGTTGGCCTGCCCCAGCCCACTGGGCCCAGCACCCGACCGTGGGGTCTTGACCGCAGGTGCCTGTTGGCCTCCTGAGCTCAGACCAAGTCTACCGTTATGAGATGTAGCCCAGAGAAGATGCGTCCCCTGTTCCTCAGTTCCTCATGGAATTCCTGGGCAGACAGACCTGCAGAGCGCCCAGTAAGCACCAACTGCTGTTGCTGTTTCCCGAAAAGCCTTCCCCCGGGGCACCTGCACACTGCTCCCATCGCTGGCCCCTGCGTGGCTGCGCCCAAACCCCCTGCCTCGGTGGTAACTCAGGTTTGCCAGGGGCCCCTCCTTCCCTGGCAGATGCTGCCTGCAGCTGGGGCTGGGCTGCCTCCTCCTCTTCAGGGATGACACAGACCACAACTAAGGGCACCCACCATGTGTTTCCCACCCAGAGAAAGATGCTTCCTGAGAGCCCTTCAGGCCAAGAGGTCCAGTCCCAGGTCCTGCCCAGCCCACTTGGCCCTGCAGAGCCTGTCCTGTCCTGGGGGTGCAGCCCCGTGGGGTCTGGGAGCTGGCCTCTGGGACAGTCCGGCTCTTGCTGGTCAGCGGGGTGCGGGGGGCTGTGCTTCTCAGGCCTCCACGTGGCCAGTGGGGTGGTGAGCATGCACGCTGGGGGCTTAAGATACCAGTGACCTCTTTATTGTTAGCGGTGTCAGTGGCTTCCTGGGGCATGTGACAGAGTGGACACTGGGCGGCAGACAGGCACTGACCCTCAGGTTCACCCTGACCCAGGAGGGGACATGTGGGGATGGAAATTGGCCAGGGGTCCCCGCAAGTCCAGTGCTTACCATGCCAAGGGCTGGAGCAGCTCAGAGCAGAATGGAGTGATCAGTGCCCAGTAGTAAATAGTATGGTTTCAAACCACTGGGTCCCACTAGGTGGGAGGCAGGGGGTGGGGACTGGCCCTCTTCTTGACCCTAACCAGACACCGGTGCTGGAAGCTCACTGTCACAGGGAATAGGAAGGGAGAGAAACCACGCCTGCCCTCTGCCAGGCCTAGGGTCCCCTCCCGACCATGGAGATGCGGGGCTGTGAGGAGTCACGTGCGGGTCCCAGGGGAGTCCAGCGTCTGCTACTCCTGCATGGAGCCTCTCAGGCCTACTTCCTAGGAGCTGGTTGAGCTCAGCTCTATCCTCTGAGGAACAGAGGTGTCTCGTCAAGTCCCTGGGGACAGATGTCAGGTTAGGGCAGGTGTGAGAGCAGCAGAGCCCCAGCACAGCTGGCCTACTGCCCCTCGAGAGCGGGTGACTCCTGGCCGGTCCTCAGCGGGTCGTGTCCTCCTCTACTTGCCCAGAGCCCCTCGGGGCAGCAGTTCCACGTAGTTCAGGGCACTCTGCAGTGAGGTCAGGCAGTAGCCCTCCTCTCCAATCAGGTACCTGTGCGGAGGCAGGCACAGGCAGCGCCTGTCACCTCCAGGGGATGCAAGGAGGCCCCCAGCACTTTGGAAGGGTCTGCCCTCATGAGGACGTCCAGGGGACAAAGCCCTGGGTGCTAAGGTCCCCCAGGTATCGGTCAGGGAGAATGGGCTAGAGGACAGCCCACTACCCAGGCAGATGCTACTCAAGAGACAGCCCCCCGGTTCCTGTCTCAGCAGTATGCCAAGCAAGGGGTGGTGGGAAGGGGCTGGAAGAAGGGACCACGGGCTTCATGTGCAGGTGGACCCCCGACCCGGGAGCACATGCCCAGTGCCCATGCCGGCCCGACTGCAGCTGGGGGCTCCTACCCCTCATGGATGAACTCCTCCAGGGCCGCGCACTCCGACACCAACTGGGGGAGGCCACTTCTCAGCACCACAAAGGACAAGATGGGCAGCAGGTCATCGGCACCGCTGTTGGGCAGAGGGACAGCTGGCCGCTGGCTCCAGGGGCCAGTACAGCCACTCCATCCCCAAAGCCTTGCAGCCCTCAGCTTGGCCTCTGGAGTGGTCCTCAGCTTGCCAGCAGCTCTCCCTGCACCCCTCCTGCCCTCCTGCGTGGGGAGTTGGGAGTGGACTCCGGTCAGCAGCACTGGCAGCCACTACAGGTGGCAAGGCTGTCCCTGATTGGGAACCATGTGCTGCGGAGCCCACGCCTGGCCGGGGGATGCCCCCCAGGGCACGTGTGGGAACAGCCTCAGCCCCACTGGCCTGCCCACATCTGTGGCTCAGGATAACGGAGGGGAGGGCCCAAGTCCCAGGTAGCCTGCCGACACCTGCGACTGGAGCCAGGCACCTGAGATCTCCCACAAGAGGCATCTAGGGGAGCTAAAAAGGTGCTTAGGGAGGCCCATGCAGGATCCTAGCCCAAGGGGCCCACAGGTTGGTGGTCTCTGGGAAGAACATGGGAGCAAAGACTTTGGCTTGAGTAGAACCACCCACCAGGAAGGCCTCGCCCACTGTGAGCTCCTGCTCGTGGCCCTGCCCCCACGACCCTGGGCACTGCACACCCGTATGTGCAACACAGCCCTCACTCCTCCTCAGACCCCGAAGGAGAGAGGGAGTGTGGGATTGCAACTGCAACCCACGACACCTTCAGCCCTATGACTCTTAACACCTACAGCTACTTACTCTGAAGCCACATGGTCAACTGGTGAAGGGGGGCCCTCCAGTGCAGCCCTGCAGCTGAGGTCCTGCGGTTGCTGGGGGTGGAGGGCATCGGTCTCTTTCTCCTTGGGTGGAGTTGTACCCTGCTCATCTCAGGCTTAACTCTAGCTTCTATCTGCCCATTATCTCCAGGCCCTTGGGTGTAGGTAGGTGCTAAAACCCACCCATCAGGTTCAAATGACAGGTGTCTTCATTATAACACGGGTCCCTGGGGCAGGGTGGCAGCAGGCAGAGCCCCTGCAGGTGCAGAGGAGCTGTGAGCCCCAAGCGGGGACCAGGGCAAGAGGCTGCTGGCCCCGGGAGGGTTCAGATGAGACCAACAGAAGCAGGCATCAGAGACGCAGGTAGAGAAGACCCCTGCCTCACCTCAGGATGGTGGGCAGGGATGATCGGGAACCCCAGGTCTGGGGGCTTCGCACAGGGAGCAAGCTCTTTACTGAGGCTGGGGCTGTTTCCCCACACGTGCTTCTGGGACAAGCAACCCTAAATTTCACTGGATTAGCTGGTGGTTTCTAACTCCTAAGAAGCCCTACCCAGATGGGCGGGAATGCGTCGTCTACGGGGGCTGGAGCCCGAGCCCCTGGTGGAAACGGGTGCTCTGCCGGACGATGAGCTCCACAGAGCTCACTGTAGCCGCAGGGCCTCTGGGGCCCAAGATCCAGATGGGAACCTGTGTTCTAGGTGCTGGGGGCAAGACAGGAGGGCTCTCCCCGCACCCCAGGCCCCTGCAGGCAGTCCCCCACATGCTCAGTGCCCACCCCAAGCTGTGAACTTTTGGGACTCACATGGCTGTGGCACCCAGCAGGGGTCTGGCCTCAGGGGCGGCCTCCTGGGCACGGCAGTAATCCTCGGCGCAGGCACAGATGACCCGCAGCACACGCACTGCGGCACAGAAAGGAGGCTGCACAAGGGGCTGGGTGGGGCCGGTCCCAGGCTAGCCCAGAGGCCACAACAGCTCCCAGGCACCCACCCGTCATGTCGTGTGGAGCTCGGGAGAGCCAGAGGCTCCCTCCCGAAGCTTGAACCCTCACAGAGCTTCTGGCCCAGAGACACACCCCCAAGTGACAGGAGAGGTCTGTAGCTCGGGGCCCACAGAGATTCCAGGTCAGCCTCTGGGATGGAGTCTTATCTGACCGCGTTCGTTCCCCCTTCCGCCCTCTGGAACGCAGCCCCCTCACCGATGCACTCCAGCTTCCTCTGCGGACAGCTCTCCAGGACCAGCAGGCCCAGCTCTTGGGCTGCCGCGCAGTAGGGGTAAGCACCGGGACCCAAGGCCTCCAGGTCCCGGGGGAGCAGCTTCCTGGGAATGCCTATGGCGGCCGGGGATGCATTCCTGTAGAGTTCCATGCTCCTGCTCAAGGCGGCCTCACGGAGGCGGTGCACACTCCTGGGGCAGAGAGAGGCCAGGCTCAGCTGGGCAAGGGCGAGCCGCAGGGGGTGGGTGTGGCACCATGGGCAAACTGGAAGCATCTGAGGAGGGCTGGAGAGTAAAGCAGCCGCTGGAAGTGTGCCCAGGGGTCCTGGAGTGGAAGGCCCTATGGCGGTCTGGAACTGGGCATACCTATAGAGCGCCAGCAGCAGGGGCCAGAGTGGAGAGAAGAAGGGCTCCTCGATGCAGGCCAGGCATCGGTCCTTGGAGGCGGTTGCATTCAGGCCTTCGAAAGCCAGGAGGGTCAGCGAGAGCAGCCTGTCTGCCGGGAGCAGAGCCCACACGATGGCACTGTGGGGACGGCTGGGCCCTGCCACCCCAGGCTGGCAACCCCTGGAGGTCATTCCCAGCCAGTCTGGGGTGCCCGGGGTGGGAGGCCCATCCCTGCTCCCTCCACTCCTACCCTCCCAGAGCCAGCCTCAGTGTGGACCACAGTGTTCTGGCTTGGTGGGCTGGGGCTCTGCGTGACCCTCCCTCCACTCCCCTCAAGCTCCCCACTTCCATGTCCATGGGCTCTGCGTTCGGAGCACCTAGGAGCTCACAAAGCCATGCCCGGCTCCCTAAGGAACTAAGAAGACAGGCTGAGAAAGGACAGCCTCTTTCTGAAGGGGTCTGAACTGCAGGAACCTGTTAGACATTCAGAAGCATATTTAAAACAAGACCCAAGGCCCAGGGAGATGGGAGGCCCGTCCTGGTGATCTTGGAAGGAATTCCAAGCCCCTGCTGGAACTCCCTCGCTGGTTTTTAGAAAACTCTGGAAGCCTTCCTCCTTGGAAGTGACCTGGGAGTCTCCAGCCACCCTAGGCACCAACCCTCAGGGAGTCCACACTCTATTCTTAAAATGGAAAAGGCCATTGTCACCAGGGTGCACACATCTGGTGGTTCTTAGTTTGGAATGACCTGAGCCTAACCCTGTGGACCAGCCAGGACCACCTGGTGGCCAGAAGATCTTGACAGCAGACCCTTCCCCAAACAGAAGGCTGGAACCGACCAGGCTGCCCTTCCCGGGGCAGCCCATCGAGCAGACAACCCAGGACTGGGGAGACCTCAGGCCCGCAGCCAGCCCCAGCTGCTCTCAGAGCACGCACCTGCCTGTCTGCTAAACACGAAGTCTGGCCCAGAGAAGGGGGGACAGAGAAGGCTCTGCAGACCAAGCTGGGCGGGCCGCCTACTGGAGGAAAGCATGTCCTCCCGAGGGCCCAGGCTTCAGAACTGGGGCAGCTCCCTCCCCCGTCCCCTCCTGTGGGCACGCTGGCCCTCACCGATGGCGTTGTGTATGTCCTTCACGGTGCTCTTCAGCTGCTCCTGCAGCGGCTCCTTCTTCATGCCCGTTGTCTGGGGTTCAGGTGGCCACCCTCGCCCCCGGCCCCACCCCTCAGAAGTAGCCAAGAGGTGTTCGAGGTCCTCAAAGGAGCTGTCTTTGCCCTGCACACCAGTCCAGCTGTGAGCCAGGGGTGAGGAAGGCCCCGCGGGGCTGCTGTCTGGTCCTCTGTCTGGGGCGCCAGCGTGAGGAGGGGGCACAGGGGGACTGGCGTGGGCTCCCTCCGGGGGCCGTGGGGCCGGGCTGGGCTCCGCAGGGGAGAGCATGCAGTAGAGGCTGTGCGAGGGCCGGAGTCGCCGGCTTCCAGGGGCCAGCAGCCCGTCAGCATCCGGGGGCAGAGAGCAGCAGCCGGGGGTGGAGGCAGTGCCTACAGCGGCCTTGCTGACGAGGGGGTATAGCGTCTGGTACACCGCACACTGGAGCTTCTTCAGGAGCTGCGAGATGGGGTGGTCGGGGATGCTGCAAGCACAGGGAGAGGGTGGGGCTGCAGCGCTGGGGCCACGCCCTCGCCTGCCGTCCACCTGCCAACCCTGGGTCCCCACCCAGCGCACACCTCGGAGAAGCAGCTCCGAGGCTTCCTTGGGAGTGAATATGGCCGATAAAGCCGGACCCGCCCCTCTGAGAAGGTAGAAGGCAGCCGCTAAAAGACCATGAGGGAGGCTGGCTGGGATGTCTGCAACCCCAGCCTAAGAAGGGAGACTGCGGATGCCCTATACAGCCACCCCCGATCTCCTCCTCTCTTTCTCTTCTGAGCCTGTCGTCTGCCTGCCATTAGGGCCAACAGGACGGAGGGAGGGAGGAAGGCCCTGGTACCTGAGCAGGTGGGAGACCAGGCTGGTCACTAGCGACAGGTCCCCTGGGCTCTTCTTGAGCCGGGCCTTCCAGTGCTTCGGCCAGTCCTGTGGGGCAGATTTTGGAGAGCATGGCTGGGTCCCTGCATGCTTCCCCACTAAGGCTGCCTCCCAGGAGACCAATGCCACACTGTCCATGCTCTCCCTGGGGCGTCGGGAAGACCCAAGGCCAACAGGCCCTGCTAATAGCAACCTGTGGCAGCCCCAGCCTCGGCTCCCGGCACTCACGTGGTCTTGCTCGTACTCGAGAATGGCGGTATAGAGGGCCCGCTGCTCCCGCTCCTCTGGGGTCAGGGCGACTTGACTGCAGAACCTCCTGGGGAGAAAGACCCAGCTGGGAGCCTCAGGGCTTAGGGGCGGGGGCAGCAGTCCCCACCAGTCCTCTGGGCTGTCCCCAGACCCATGGGAGGAGACGCACCTGTTGGCTGCCTCCTGGAGCCGTAGCCGGCGCTCCTCCATCTTCCTGTGCAGCTGGGGCAGCAGAGTCAAGGCCGTGGCTGGTGGGCACCCCCCCCACCACTTGCCGGCACCGAGTTCCCGGGCACCTGGGAGGTATGGTCAGGCCAGGCGGGGCAGAGGAGGGGGCAGGCCCGAGGATGGGTGCTCACTCAGGGAATGAAGCCAGGGCCAGCCAACTGGAAGCAGGGAGAGGAGCCCGTGGGTGCTCCGAGGAATAGGAGGGCCAGTGAGGAGGCCGGAAGGGCAGGAGCCGTCCCTCAAGGACACGACTCTCTGAAGCAAGACGAATTCCATCCCCACCCCAACAGCGGCACCTTCACTTCCCACCTCACCCCCTTCTCCTTCAGCTCAGGACACTGGGGATGGAGAGAAAGGATACTGTCTCCTCCCGGGCTTTGGCGATCACAAGGTTCTCCAGCATCTGTCGTTGCAGGGACAAGGTCTAGGAAGGGAAGGAGAAAATAAGGCCCTACTGCTCTTCCACCACCAAGCCAGACCCTCCCTGGGACCTGCTCACCAAGGAGGTCTTCTGCACGGCCTGGCTGGGGTCCAGACGGGCCATCCGTGCCTCGTAGGCGGCCTTCAGCTTCTGGTTCTGCAGAGACGCCTCCTCCAGAGGTGTCAGCTCCCTGGGAATAGCGACAAGCTGCTGTCCGGGCCCCAGGAAGCTCTGGAATCCTCTGGTAACCTGAGGACCATCCCCGACCAAGCCCTGAGACCAGAAGGTGAGCTGGTGGTGCGGTGGGGAGGCAGGCAGGAATTGAAAAGGAGGGAGGAGGTCTGGGGTGGACTGGGGACCCCTGCTGACCTGGGCCTGCAGTAGCTAAGATGTCTGAGTTTTCAAGAGAAGGTAGACATTGTGCTTTTTGTAGATGAGGTATGCGTGTCTGGCAACAACATGAAACTTTCTAAAGGCATCGTGTAAGCAAAACAACTAGATGAGCTTGCCACCCGTTAAAGAGAGAACCGGGTCTACTCAGTAGGAAGAGCCTCCAAAAGCTACCCCCACCCCGCGCTGAGTCTTTGGGTTTCACAGGTCTTCATGCTTTCGCGGTGGGGGGAGGGTCAGCTGTGAGGGCTTCAGCTGTGGCAAAACTTGTCCTGGGATGGAAGTCTCGTGCCTGGTCCTGCCCTGAAACCCTACGTGCAGCAGTGAGGTGTCTGGACCCTTTCGGTGCCTGTGGCCCCTGACGGCTGGCAGCAGCAGGGCCAGGAGCCAGCACTTGTCTTAGTGGGGATTCTTGTATGTGACTGTGTTTCCTCAGTTCCAGAAACTTCTATCCTGTTAGCTCTTCAAATAATGCCTCTCCCACTTTCTTTTCTTTTCCCAGAAGTCCAATAATCTTGTTAGATTTTCGATCTCCCTCTCAGACTTTCTTTTTTCTCTCCCTCTCTGAGTCGTTCAGAGGATCTACTGACCCTTTAACCAATTCACTCATTCTTGCTGCAGTTATGTCTGGTCTGCTATAAAATCGACCGCTCATTTCCGTGTGCACGCGTGTACTTTCACTGCAGGATACAATGTGTTGTCACTGTTTTCAGTTAGTTTTTAAAAACAATTTTTTTTGTTTGTTTGTTTCTACTTGGTTCTTTATTTGCTGGGTCCAATTTTATGGTTTTTTTGTCCCCTGACACTATTTTCCAACTTGCTTTTTCCTTCTGTGAATGTACAGAGCACGATGGTCTCGCAAAACATCTGCTAACTCTGCCAGGAAGCTTGCAGGCCGTTTCCACGCTTACTCTCTGAGCTTCCGGTTTCTCTCTGGACTTGCATGTCTCTGACTGGGTGTCATTTGTGCACATGCTTCTGTCCAAAGGGGATTTGCATGTTTTTGTCAAGCACGAAGCTATTTCCATTCTCGGGCCCGTTTAACGAAAACCACCCTGGTTAGCTCACTTTGCCTGGACTTCAAACCCAGGCTCAGCCCACCTTCCGTTCTGCCCTCTCTTACTTCTTAGAACCTTGTGACTCCACCACCTGAAGCTTCTGGAAGATCTCGGGCGGCAGAAATGGAGATAGTTTACCCCCTTCATCCGAGTACACCCGGCGATGTCGACTGGTGGATGCGGGGCCCGGAGCAGCCACGGGCACAGCCGGCTTCAGGTGTGTTTTCCCTGCAAGACGCACACAAGCAAGGGGCATCGTGGAGTCCAGCGCGCCACAGAAACGTGGATTTGTGAGGGGGGGGGCATCCGAGGGAAATCTGCTAGAGACCCACCGAGCTGGGCAGCTGTCGACTGGGCCCTCTCCAGACACTGCTCAGCCAGTTTCAGCATCTTTGAGGTGTCTGGGGCCACAGTGTCTCCACCTTCTGGGGAGCAAGAGACAAGAAAGCTGATCACCATCGCCTTTGTCACTAAACAGAGTCTTGCTGAAATAAAAACAAAGACAAGCCCATCCTCTCCTTACCTCTGACCCCTCTGCCGGCCTAGCCCCCTCCTCGTCTATTCCCCCAGGGGTCACCCCGCCCCTTCCTCATCCCTGACCTCTAGGTCACCTCATCTCCTCATTTCTGATCATCTGACGAGGGTTGACTTCCTGATGCCACGTGGGCTCCCAGCTTGGCCAGCCCAGCATCTAACTGTCCTGTCATCCCGGACATCATCCCGGCTAGACTATCAGAGCCCCCCTCCTCTGCCTTTTCTCAGCAAATGCTTCCCTTGTACTTACAGCCTCACAGTGGGCCTTGTAGGGGCCATGGACCATTTCCCAGACACAACTTCACCACCTATCTCCTGCGCTCTGACTGTGCTTGACCCTGCCCCCGGCCCATGCGGGGGGGGGCGGGGAGCTTCTGTTCTGTATTCCCTGCTGGGGCCGGGGGAGGGGGCAGTCACTCTCGTCAGGAGGTATAGGCTATAGGAGCTGTCTCTAAAGGTCTTCCCTGGACCCCACCAGCCACAGTTTCTGACCCACTGTGCTCCCACCATAGCCAGCCTATCACTGCATCCTGTTTTAGCCCTCTGACTCCCACGGAAATTCCCCTCACTTCTACCCTCACATTGAGCCCCTCTCTGAGGGCTCCTCAACCTTTCAGGGTCTCTCTATTCCAGAACACTGCGCCCCTCCCCCCTGGTCTACTGCTGCACCCCCCTCCCAGGCCTCAGTCTTGCAGTGCCCGGAGCTCTGCTAAGCTCACTGCCTCTCTGGGGCAGCTCTGTTTCTGGTGACTCCTACGTCTCCCATAGCCACCAGGGTGCTCAGCACCTGAAGCAAACATGCTCATGATGGAGCTCTCTATTCTTCCCACACAGTCTGCTCCTGCCACCCGCTGGACCATCCCTCTGCACCTCACTGTTCCCCCCAGAAGTCCATTGCTCCCCACCCCCCACCCAACAGTGGCTCACTGTCTCCACCCTCTGCCCTGACAACCAGTGGCTCACTACCCACCCCCAAATCTGGGAGGTCCACCTTTAAAGAACATCCCCAAGCCCTTTGCTCCTTCTATGTCCAAGCAGCCCTATCACTGCCGTCCTCACTGTGAGAACCTCCTGGAGGCTCAGCTTCCATGCTGGCCTCTCGCTCACCAAGCCTCTACCAGCTTCCACTTACACCAGAATGGCCCCAATTCCACCCAAGGCCATGACTGCCCCAACTGCTCCCAGCATCCACTCTCATCTCAGAGGCTTTGCACATCTCTCTGCTGGGAGTGTTGCCCCCAGCCCCTGACCTTTCCACAGCTCACTCCTTTCTGGGCTAGGGTTCGATGTCCAGTCTCCGGTTATGCCCCATTCCATTTCCATCCCCTGACAGTATCCCTCTCTTCCTGCTCCCACATCACGCTAGGACAGCTCGTGCACCCAGTCACCTTCTGCTAAAGACCCATGCGTAGGACACAGGACACCTCCAGGCCTGAGACCCACCAAGCGCTAAGCTGTCCATCATTTGTTCGGCACAGGAAGAGTGGAGAAGCTGAGAGCTGTACCTTTGGTGGTTTCCACTTCTTCCAGCAGCACCTGGGAGATATAGTGGATGCTCCTCAGGTACTCCGCGTATGCCTCCTGTGCCCGGGGAAGAGAAATGGAGCGGTCAGGCCAGGAGTGGCAAGCGAGTCCAGCACGCCTCATGCCCTTGTGGGAAGCTCAGACATGGTGCCGGCTCATCTCTTGATTTCACCTGAGACGCGCAGCCTGAGGTAATGAGCGGGTCGCTACTCCAGGCGCTGGGTCCTGTTCTACACAGAGAGTCCCTCTTCTCTTGACTTGAAGGGCACCCACCCCTCCGCTCACTGCGGCCCCCAGCGCGGCAAGAACGGAGCTTCTCCTTCCATGCGCCAGAGAAGCAGCCCCCACGGCCCTGTCTGCAACAAGTGGCCTTCCTGGGCGACTCGGGGGCTTCTTAGGCCGTGGCTTAAAAAAACACAATTTTCCTGGGAGGCTCCCGAGGGCCTGATGCCGCACATCTCAGAATCACCGTCTGGCTGCGGTCCTGGCCAGTCCCTCTCCCGAGCTCCCGAGCCCGCAGTCTCGAGCACGAAAGTATCGCCACTGCCCAGGGTCAGCCGGGCTCCGAGCCAGAGCGCCAGGCTCTCGAAGCACCGCAGGACGCCCCGGGCCGCAGGTGAACCTTCCCCAGGTCCACAGCTCCGCGGGAAGGACACGGCGGGCTCGGAAACGGTTTCTGACCGGGGGGTGGGGCAGCTGCGGTCCCGGAAACCGGGCTTGGGGAGGGCAGCGCCCCGAGGAAGCAGATGCCGTTCCCGGGAGGCCCGACGCGGCCGGGCCTGCTCGTCCGGCCGGCGCCGCCCTCCGGACCCGCGGCCCGCCCCGCGCCGGCCGGCGCTCCCGCCTCTCCTCCGTACGGGCGCGGCCGGTCCGCCTTCCCCGATGTTGCCCCTCTGGGAGCCCGAGGAGAGCCGCCGCCGGCCGGCGCAGACTGCCCGCCGGTCGGCTGCGGAGGGCGGCTCGCTGAGCCCTGCCCCGCCCGACGGCACCGGCGTCTCCGTCCCGTCCCCGCGGACGGCGGCCCACAGCGCGCGGGGAGCTGTCCAAGGTCACCGCAGCCGCCCGCGCCGCGCGCCCCGGGAGCCGCGCTACGGGTCCCCGACCGCGCCCCCGGCCCCGCCCCCGCCCGCCGGACAGCCGCCCCAGGGGCGCCCGCCGCCGCGGCCCCCGCCCCGCCTCGCTCTGAGGCGCCTCACCCGGGGCCGGTTGCCGGTGTCCAGCTCGATAGCCCCGTTGGCCAGCTTCATGGCGCACTGCAGGGGCTTCACCGCGCCGTCCCCGGCCGCAGCGGCCATGGCGCCGGGCTGGGGAGGCCGTGGCTGTGACAGCGGCGGCGGCCCAAGGCGAGACAGAAGGCCCCGACTCCGGAACGCGGCTCGCGCGGGAGTCGGCGCCGCCCGAGCCCTGGACCGCCGGAAGCGGCGGGGCCGGCGCGGCTGCACTTCCGGCGTCGGCGGCCCCCTCGGGGCGCTCGAGTCGCCAAGCTCCCGAGGTTGGAGGGGCGGAGGCGCTCTCAGGTAGCCTCACGTAGTCGCTGCGAGCGCGTAAGTGGAAGCGTCGGCCCCCGCGCGCCACGTCTGGGACATGCCAGACGCCCGGGCCCGGCCTTTCCCTTCGCCGCCCCGCCCCTGCCTCACCGGCCCGCCCCACTTCCAGGGTGGCGAACCGGGTCGAGCGCCGGAGTCCAGCTGAGCAGACGCGCGGGGCTCGGGGCGAGAGGCCGGGCCCGGCCCACCCAGCGGGGGTCGAGCGGAGCCGAGTGCAGCCGAGCCGGGTCGAGTACGGCCGGGTGGAGCCGAGCGGGGCCGAGCCGAGCGGGGCGGAGCGCCGGGGCCCGGCTGGAGCCGCGGCCGCCGCCATGAAGCGGGACCGGCTCGGTCGCTTCCTGTCTCCGGGGGCGGCGGGTCCGCGCGGGGGCTCCGGCGGCGGCAGCGGTAGCGGCAGCGGCCGGACCCGAGGCCGCCCGTCCCGCAGCGGACCGAGCGTGGACGAGGCCGCGGCCTTGGTGGCGGCGCGGCTGGGCTGGGGCCTGGCGCGGGCCCGCGGGGACCCGGGCGAAGACGGCGCCGAGGAGGCAGGTGGGTCGGGCCGGGGCGCCGGGCGGGGGGCGGGCGGGCGGGAGCGGGAGCGGCGGGTCCCGGGCCGGAGCCCCCCGCGCGCGCTCTCGGCCTTCGTGGGGGGCGGGGGCTGCGGTGTTGGCGGAGACCCTCGGCTGCTGTCGTGCGGGCGGCGACGGGCTCTGGGACGTGTCGCGCCGGGGCCGTGCTCACACGCGGCGCGGGGCTCGCCTGGGACGGTAGCCGCCGGCCCGCGCTGCCCGACACGCGCCCGCAGACCCGGTGCCCCGCAGGCCCCGTGTGGCCCCGCCGCGCCCCGCGCCTGCGGCCGCCGCGCTGCTCCCCGTGAGCTGCGTTTGGCTTCTGGCCTGGTGCAGAGGACGCTCGAGAGTGAAACCGGGTGGCGCCACCCGTCCTTCCTGCCTTCGCGTAGCGTAGTCGCTCGAGGGGCCAGCGTGCGGGGCCAGCTGGCGCGTTGCCTTTTCGTGGGTGAGTAATGTTCCGGCGCGCGCTCGTGTGCTCGTGCGCGCGCCTCACGTCCTCTGGGACGCGGCGGGAGGAGAATGGTTGGGTCAAAACTTTCGGTTTTGGGACGCGGGGGTGGCTCAGTTGGTTAAGCAGCTGCCTTCAGCTCAGGTCAGGATCCCGGCGTCCTGGGATCGAGTCCCACATCGGGCTCCTTGCTCATCAGGGAGCCTGCCTGCTTCTCCGTCTGCCTCTCTGCCTGCCATTCTGTATGCCTGTGCTTGCTCTCTCTCCCTCTCTGACAAATAAATAAAATCTTTAAAAAAAAAAACAAAAAACTTTCGGTTTTTAAAAATTTATGGGGGCGCCTGGGCGGCTCAGTGGGTTAAGCCTCTGGCTATCTGTCTTTTTTGAAAAAATGTTCATGTCTTCTATCCTTTTTTTAATTGCATCATTCATTTTGGAGGTGTTGAGTTTTATAAATTATTTATGTATTTTGGGTAGTAGCCCTTTATCAGATATGTCATTTGTGGGGCGCCTGGGTGGCTCAGTGGGTTAAGGCCTCTGCCTTCGGCTCAGGTGATGATCCCAGGGTTCTGGGATCGAGCCCCGCATCTGTTTCCCTGCTCTGCGCGGAGCCTGCTACCTCCTCTCTCTCTCTGTGCCTGCCTCTCTGCCTACTGGTCTTTCTGTCAAATAAAATAAGTAAATAATCTTAAAAAAAAATAAAGTAAAAAATCTGTGTATGTATTTTAGCGAGAAAGCGAGGCCCCACTCACACTTCCCAGAAAGAGAGTACGTGTGCAGAGCGAGGGTTAGAGGGACCGAGGGAAGCAGACTGTCCGCTGAGCAGGGAGCTGCAGGGACACTGGGCTCCATACTGGGCTCCGTGTCTGTCACCCTGAGATCATGACCCGAGCTGAAGCCAAGAGTCAGACTCAACCTACTGTTCCACCCAGGCACCCCCCGTAGTTTTAGTATTTTGAGGAACTTTGATAGAGACTGTACCAGATTACATTCCCACCAGCAGTGCCCAGGCGTTCGCTTTTCTCCACGTCCTCCAGCACGCATCGTCGTGAACAGGTGTGAGGTGCCGGCTCATTGTGATTTTGGTGCGCATTTCCCTGGTGATGGTGGATGTTGAGCACCTGTACACTTGTGCGTGTACTTATTAGCCGTCTCTATAGTTCTTCTCTTGAAAAACAACCGTTTAAATCTGCCTTGTTGTTTTTTTAAGATTTATTTATTTGAGAGAGGGACAGGGAGATAGGCAGACGCCCCACTGAGTGGGGAGCCTGGCACTGGGCTTGATCCCACAACCCTGACATCATGAGCCAAAATCAAGTCAGACACTTAATGACTGAGCCACCCAGGCTCCCCTGCTGCCTTTTTTAAAGTTGGATCGTGTTTTTGGTTTTGAATTACATTAGCTCTTAATACATATATTTTAGAGATTAATCTTTGTTATATGATTTTCCCCAATTCAGTAGGTTACCTTTTCTTTTCGTTGATGGTTTTCTTTGCAGTAGAGAAGCATTTCAGTTTGATGTAGTCCCACTTATTTATTTTTTTGCTTTTGTTGCCTTTGTTTTCAATGTTGAATCTAAAAAATGATCACCAAGACTGAGGAGAAGGAATTTACTGTCTATGTTTTCTTCTAGGAGTTTTATATTTTTAGGTCTCACACTTAGGTCTTAAATCCATTTCGAGTTTATTTTTGTTTATGATTTAAGTTGGGGGCCTAGTTTCATTTCTTTTGCATGTGACTGTCCAGTTTACTAATACTCATTTATTGAAGAAGAGACGGTCACTTCCCTATTGTACAGGTTTGCCTCCTTTGTAGTAAGTTAATGGACCACACATACGCCCAGGTTTATATCTGGGGTCTCTCTCTCTCTCTCTCTCTTTTTTTTTTTTTTTTTTTTTAAGATTTTATTTATTTACTTGATAGATCACAAGCAGGCAGAGAGGCAGGCAGAGAGAGAGGAGGAAGCAGGCTCCCCGCCGAGCAGAGAGCCCGATGCGGGGCTCGATCCCAGGACCCTGAGACCATGACCAGAGACAAAGGCAGAGGCTTCACCCGCTGAGCCACCCAGGCGCCCCTGGACTCTCTTATGTTACGTTAGCCTGTTTGTCTGTTTTTATGTTATTACTGTATTGTTTTGGTTACTGTAGTTGTGTAATCTGTTTTGAAATCAAGAAGTATGATGCTTCTGGCTTTGTTCCTCTTTCTCAGGATTGCTTTGGCTATTTGGGGTCTTTTGTGGTTCTATATAAATGTTAAGATTGCTCTGCTTTTGTGAAAAATACCATTGGAATTTTGATCAGGATTCCACTGAATGTGTAGGCAGCTGTGGGTGGTGTGAACGTGGTAATGGTGTTCTAATCCACGAGCACAGAATATTCATTTATTTGTCTCTGGTTTACTTCATCGGGTAGAGGTTTCTCACCTCCTTGTTAAAAAGTTATTCAAAGGTTTTGTTATTCGTTTTGATGCATTTGTAAGTGCGATTGCTTTGTTAATTTCTTTTTCTGATAGTTCATTGTTGATTTTGTGTCCATCAACTACGGAATTGCGTTCCTAGCATTCTTAGACTCTTTTGGTGGAGTCTTTAGGGTTTTCCATATATACTGCCATATTATCTGCAGATAGAGACAGCTTTTTTACTTCTTTTTTTTTATTTGGGTATTTCTTATTTTTCTTGGCTAATTGCTCTAAGACTTCTGGTACTACGTCGAATAGAAGTGGTGAGGGTGGGTGCCCTTATCTTGTCCCTGACCTTGAGAGGAAAGCTTTCTGCTTTTCACCTGTGTGTATAATGGTAGCTCTGAGCTTGATACCTGTGACCTTTATTGTGTTGAGGTACATTTTCTTCTATACCCACTGTGTTCAGAGTTTTTATCATGATGGGCGTTGAGTTTTGTCCGAAACTTTCTGCATCTGCTGAGATGCTTATATGAGTCGCATCACGTGGATAGGTTTGTGAGTGTTGGACCGTCCTTGCACCCCTGGAATAAATCCCACTGGATCCTGGTATATGAGCCACTTAGTGTAGTGTCGAATTAGGTGGGCATTTTGGCAGCTGTGTTTGTCAGGGATTTGGCGTGTAATTTTCTTTTCTTGTGGTGTCCTTGTCTGGTTTTGTTATCAGGGTAATTCTGGCCTTGTTGTAGAAGCACTCCGAATTCTCTGAAAGGTTTTCTGGACCGTAGGGCCCTCCATTGAGCACATTCCCCCAAAAGGGTTTATGTTCAGCCGGGAGCCCAGAGCCAGAGCCTTGCCTTTGGCCCAGATGCGGGCTTGTGTCTAAGGCGTGTATACGGGGAGGCTCCATGGAGGATCCTTCACTCGGGCTGGGAGGATGCTGGGAGGATGGCGGAACATGGGCTTCCCCTCCCCTGGGGCCACGTTGCTTCTTTCCTAGGAGCTTGTGTCTTCCATGCCCTGTGCAGCCAGCAGCCTCGCCTGCTGACTTAATGTCTCCTGTGCTTGCCCAGGAACAGGCCGGGCTCTTGCCATGGGGCACTGTCGCCTCTGCCATGGGAAGTTCTCCTCACGGAGTCTCCGCAGCATTTCTGGCAGGGCCCCTGGGGAGAGCTCAGACAGACCCCCCCCAGGGGAACGAGTTTTCATCAGGGACTTCCAGCATCTACTGGGGGTGGCCGTCCACCAGGACCCAGCTCTGTCTCAGTTTGTCTGCAAGAACTGCCACGCCCAGTTCTACCAGTGCCATGGCCTCCTCAAGTCCTTCCTGCAGAGAGTCAACGTCTCCCCGACAGGCCACCGGAAGACTTGCACGAAGTAGGCGATCCTCCTTCGTTCGTTTGGTGGGCG